GTTGGTGTTAAATGACAAAGTAGATTTTAGTATTAGATTGTAAAAATAGTTTGCGCATTATATAAATAAATATGAAAAAAAATAAAATAAAATAAAATAAAAAAAAATTATCAACTCTTTCTGATGATTTCTTATACCAAAATTTTAATGAAAAATCTAACTTAAAAAAACAGTAAGCTAGAGTACAGAATATGAATAAAGGTATATATAACTATAAAGAGTTTAGCATTTGTTATTTAGAAATAGTTTTTATATGCTACCTGCTGATAGGCTTAGAGTTTATTATTTACTAGTTGGAATAGTACTTGTTATTTAGAAATAGTTCTCATATGCTACTTGCTGACAGGTTTAGAGTTTATTATTTACCGATAAAAGAAAGTTGCTTCTGGCTAAAAGCCTCTAATGCATTGCTTTTTGTAATATCTTTTCTTGTTACAAAAATTTTTGTCAAATATATAAGGTCTTATAATACCACTACCTACTTTTCTTGGCATTCACTTGTACCTACAACAAAATTTTTAAAAAAAGTAGGCAAAACAGCTTATCTCTGTCAAAAGATTGGCATTGTTTACTTCTTCCAAATTTGGTTAACCCAGTAGATTGCAATCACATGTTTTGTTTAGTAATAAACATATCACTATTCTATGTAACAAGGCCTATTGACTAGTTCTTGGTTAAAGTTTTATCCAGATTTGGTCATATAGTCAGAAAAAATTAATACATTAAAGCAAAATTTTATAGTAAAGATATATAGATGTTGTATTTGTTATATAATTTTTTAAGCCTTGCACAGGTTACAATAGTGCACTTTCTTTTATTTTTCTTTTATTACATTGTTTAGCCCAGTCTAAAAGCCTTACTTGTTTTTTTTCTTATCTTTTTCTTATATAGTTATATTAGAGTTTTACATTTAGATTTTCATTTTTTCTCTCCTTATAGTTTTCCTTTTGTTTAATCATTTTCCTTATTTCTCCTTTCTTGCAATATTGTTTTATTTCTTTTTTGTTTTTCTTGGTTTTATTGAATGAAGAAACAGGCTTACCAAAGTCTTTCTGCCAAGATCTAAATAAAAAAAAATTAAGTTTTGGCTCTTAGGTAGAGCTAATAACATCTTTTGTTCTATTCATAGCACAGTGTAACAGGTCGCATCTAGGTACCCAAGAAGTAACCGGATGATACTGTATCTGATTATTTTAGTTTAGATATTTCATATATATTTTGTATATACAGTCAAATCTCGATATAATCACCAGCTTGGGAAACAAGAATCCGGTGATTATAAAAAGTAGTGACTATATAAAGGTCAAATTTTATATGTTTTATATTAGCTCGAGTTAAAAAAATAGCGTGATTATATCAAGGTTGCGACTATATCGAGAGTGACTATAACGAGGTCTGACTGTATTAATATTATTATTGTGCAAATTGTTTATAGAATAAAATAAAATCGGATTTAGAATTTAAATTTTAAACCGCTGTATCTTTTTATCAATGATTGAAATGACATTGATTATTTTCTACTTTTCATTGGAGTAATTTACAAATTACCAAAACTGGTCATTTAAATGGCCTGTAGTTGTGGCAGAAAAATTCGTGATCAGATGATTGTGACTAGAGTAATGTAAATGAAAGTTTTTTTTTGGCATTGCATTTATGCAGTTCTGTAGTTCTGTATAATATACTGTAAACCTCTCAAACCGATATGCGGTGATAGACTTTGTATTATTACTGAGAGGTTATCGGATTTGAAAACATAAATTATTAGATTTATAAAATGGAACAGACCTAATAGATTAATTTTTTATTGGATTTCACAGGCTATTGATTTTGATAGGTACAAGTTTTATAAAGTGATTTTTGATGAAATGACATACTGTATATCAAAATTACATAATAACTTCTATGTCATTTTTAAGTTTTAGGCAACTTGCGTCGCATTACGCAGCCTGCAAATTCATACGGCACATTTCTAGTTACGCCAAATATGTATTTTTAGAATTCATCTGTAGAGTATTTTTAAAGCTTCTTGTAATAAATGATATCCAAATGAAAAAATCTTTATCGATAAGATCTCCATGTTTCATTTAGCGCTCGTTATTATAAATTCATCAAAGTAAATTTTATCAACATACAAGTCAAAATCTATTCAAAATCGGACTTTCTCCAATGTAACATCAGTATTGAAAAAATGAAAACAGGAAAATATCAATGATTGTTCCATTCGGAGATGTTCATTTATTACTTTTACACAAATTTAATGTGTAACATCATAGATCTCTTTTTTATTTTTGTCCATGTGACTAAAATATTAACTGACATTGCATATAAACTGATTATACTTGCAATTTCTTCAAGATAGTAAAGTGTTCATAATAATCCTAAAGTCCAAAAAACAATTATGTCATTCACAGACGACTCGCAAAGAGACTTAGTTGGTAAATCGCATAAAATTTTTAAATAAATATTTATAACATATTTATTTTTTAATAAATTTTACAGAAAGAAGACTAAGATATGCAACCATAGTTTTGATTATACTTTTAGCAGCTGCTTATGGATGTACGTTTCGTTTCATGCGACTTTATATTGTCTTCTTTTTTACTATCGTTTCAGAGTAGTCAGACTAAATACTAAATTTCCTTTAATTTGAAATAATATTAATTTTAACTTTTTATTATCACATTTTATATGAATAATTAATATAATATTTAAAGCCTGGAATATATATCGCATGGTAGAGTCTGTAAACTCACCCGTAGTATCATTAAAGTCCGAATTGCGCTCCAGTATACCAGTAAATAATCTATTATCTCTGTTATAAACTATGATGCTGAGATTGAGCGTAAATATTATTCATTTAACTAGGTACCAGGTTTGGTCATTTGTGGAGATACGATACACAGATCTGCAAACTGGTCTGTTCGATGTTACAAAAGTCAAATCAATGCTGCTGATGACAATTATACTGATGTATGTTGAAATACGTATTTTGTATCTTTACATTTATAATTTCTATAGCAAAAATTTTTTATTTAATAAGGCTTGTATTTTTCAATTTTTCAAAGGCAACAAGTTGTGATGAATACTTATCAAGTCAACCGATTAATGCGTCAACTTTTTTTAATATGCACGGATACAACAATCTTGATAAACAATTTTGTTGTTAGTAACATTGGTTTTATTTTTATCCTTGGTGATTAAATGATAATTCGTTAGTATATTAAATTATTTTTTGTGTAGACATTTTAAACACTTCACGACCATTTGATGAATCTCATGGAGTGGATCCGCTTGTATTTGATAATTCGACTCAAAAAATTGCAATTACATTATGGTCAGACGAAAAAGCTAACAACATTGTAAGAATAATGACTATATTATAAAGATGATAAACATGATACTTTATTACAGTAATTTCTAATATTTTAAATATTCATCATTTAGAATGGAAACATTACTGTAGATCGTTGGTTCGTGTACGGAACATTTACTGAATCAGAAGATTATAGGTATACTAAATTCCAAATTGTCAAAATGGTAATTATATATATTTTTTTTAACGTTTGAAGAAACTTAAATAAATGTAATTACGATGATTTGATAATTAATTATGTGTAATTTTATAGCCATCTATTTCGTATTTATATTCTAAAAGAATAGAAAAGTATGGTATCAACAAAAAAGACATCATAACCGGAGGTGGAACTGCACAAACTATCCAAAAGTCTATCGAGAGTGATGAAACGTTTACAAGCTTTGCAATTGCAGGATTTGGAGTTGACCCAAATCTTTGGGAAATCTTCAGAATCATTCCAGCAAAATATGCTGACGAACAAGTAAATTCCAAATTTCTCGTAGAGCTTTGGTATGATCGAGTAGAATTTACATTTTTACAATTTACTGCCAACATGGGAGGCTTTCTAAGCGTACTTAGTGTTGCTTATCTTTCTCTATTTGGATCACGAAGGATAAATCCTTGGGGTGTTGTTCAACGTCATGTAAGTGTTTTTTAAATTAATTCAAAATTTCTTTTTAATTGATTAATTTTTCCATTTGAACCTTTTATTAGTTACTTAAAGTAGTGCCATACACGGCAGTGTCTTATTCTTCATCTGCTGAGATTATTGAACCACAAATACATGAACCATATTCCTCAGAGAAAGGTATTTTGTCGATGTCAACCACAGATATGGATAAGCTGAGCATTCATCAGATAAAACAGGATTTGCGTGAAGAAATGCAGAAAATTATTAAAAGTGAATTAGTAAAATTAAAGGAGTTTCTGAACAAACATTATCTTAAAGATGTCGATAAGTACTAAATAGATTAGGGCCAGGAATGCCGCATCATTGTAAATATCTCAAGATGTGTAGCCTATCAAAATACGTAGTTTAGGTATCATTTACAACGAAAATCTGCCTAATACATTATTTTCAATGTTACTATCTAAATTTTTGTATCGTAATCATCAATTTATCATTATTATCATTATTATTTTTTTTTATTTTACAAATTGATTTTATGAATGTTAAAAGAATGAAAAAACAAGGCCTCCACGTTTTATAAATAAAATAAGATCAACCTTTTGATAAAAAACATTTCTGCACATCATTATTTAGGGCACATTTTTGTGAATCATACATATGAATTATCATTATTATTGCTCAATCAGAGACTTTATTACTACTAAGCGTTGAAGAAACATATGGGAATAGGTCTGCTATCACCAAAACTGGCTCTAGCTTATAACTAACAAAATAAAAGAAACTACTAACAAATAAAAGAAACGACTAACAAAATGAAAGAACTACTAACAAAATAAAAGAACCTACTAAACTATCTGTCATATCTATACAATATCCAACCATTCTTCCATATAACGTAAACTCAAAGAGGGGAATACTAATTACTATAATTACAACTCTATTTCTATGTCGAAAGGCAGTTTATTATTTACATAGCTGCAAAGAGAATCGGAATACTGCTGCCGATATACTGTATCTTCCTGACTAACTTGAAAATTATAAAGGTACAAGGAGACTAAAGTAATATTTTTACGAACAGCCTCTACTAATGCATGTATTCCTTCAGAGGTAATTTGATTATAAGAAAGATTTAAAGAAGTTAGAGTAGCGTTTATACGAATTGCTTCTGCTAATGCTTTCGCTCCTTCAATACCAATATTATTACCATCAAGTCTTAAAGAAGTTAAAACAGCGTTTACATAAAGTGCTTTTGCTAATATTTTTCCTCCCTCGTTACCAATATTATTGTAACTAAGATCCAAAGAAGTTAGAGTTGCGTTTATATAAAGTGCTTCTGCAAGTACTTTTCCTCCCTCAATACCATTATTATAAAACCAAGGTCTAAAGAAGTTAAAGTATTGTTTATGTGAAGTGCGTTTGCTAACGCTATCACTCCATCAGTACCAATTTTATTGCTAAAAAGATGTAAAGAAGAAAAGTATTGTTTGTACGAAGCACATTTGCTAACGCTTTTCCTCCTTCAGTACCAATATTATTTTTATTAAGATGTAAAGAAGTTAGAGTAGTGTTTATATAAAGTGCTTCTGCAAGTGCTTTCCCACCTTCAATACCAATATCATTACCATTAAGTTCCAACGAAGTTAGAGCAGTGTTTTTACAAAGTGCCTTTGCCAATGTTTTTCCTCCCTCAATATCTATAACATTATTAACAAGACTTAAAGAAGTTAGAGTTGTGTTTATATGAATTGCTTTTGTTAACGCTTTCACCCCTTCAGAGCCAAAATTACTGTAGTTACGGCTTAAAGAAGTTAAAGTCGTGTTCTTGCAAAGAATTTCGCTATTTCCTCTGAATAATCCAAATTTATACTAAGTGTTAAGGAATTAATTGTACTGTTTCTGCATAAATTTCTCATTAATTCATTGTTAAAAATAATATTATAAACTTCCAAACATTCTAATTTCTTATTTGTTCTTAGAAACATTGCAATTAAAGAATTTTTAATCGTGTCCGAAAGAATATCATTAAAATCATACATTAGAACTTTATCATGGCCATTGTAATTAAGCCAATTAGTAATTCCTCTATGTAAATCCAAACCAACATGTTTAGTATAACTTGTATAACAGTATAATCAAATAACGGTTTTGGGTAATATGGAAAAGGAATCTTAAAGGGGATTAATAACGCTTGTTCTTCAGTATTTAATGCCAAAAGACAAGTATTTATAAGTTTTCTATTTCTAAATTTTTTCCCAATATTACACCATAATGTTGGTACAATAATTCTACACCAGTTACAGTTTACAAGAAGGCATGAATATAAGCTTTTATAATCATCCTGAAAATTATTAAATATTATGAATAGACATTCGTTCGGTAATTTTATCATTTTTTGAAGGATTAAGGATTTTTGTTAAAACGTAATTGTGTATCGGATATACGTACAGTATATCGATATATATTACGTATACAGTACATCATGAAACGTTGACCATAGCTGCCGCAATAAATTGCACAGCAGATTCTCGATTTTGATTGGCTAAGAATGACGATCATAAAATTAGGCCGGAATTACTCGGATTTTTACTAATGAAATCGCAGACGCCTATTAATTGGGGCCAATTTTACCATAAATGCGAGCTTATTTTTCAAAAATTTTCATTTTTGTAATGAAAAAATCAAAAAATTAATCCCGACCAGAAATCAGTAAACAATTTTGTACTGCGGGACAAAATTTTTGCAGATCACGACCGTTAGCCAATCAAAAAAGAGAAACTGTCGTGACAATTTTGTTGCGGCAGCTATGGTTAATTCTTACGACACTACTGCGCTGGCTGCGTAGAATGCGCAACCTATGCATTTTTAAATATGAGGAACATATTTAAATTACTATACTTTTTTACTTTTAGAAAGTAACATTTTACCAAATTCTTTTTATATTATGCATGCTATAAATATAAATTATTACATACTTCAATCCCCATAACACCATATTTATGAGTACATAAAGCTATATTAATTACATAATTATTATCGAATGATGTTTCTATTTATCTATATACTGTCTAAAATCTATTAGCTATTATTCAATAATCATTCTGAACAGTGACCTAGTAGACAATATTCTTAGTAGTACAATGCTATGTAATGCGATTTAATATAGATAATTAGACAAAGAAAAAATGACAATATTATCGTAATTTGCAAAATTATGTGATCTTATGATAACTATCTTTTTTAATTGAAATGATTAAATTATGATTATCGATAACCAACACAAACCTCATGATGATCACTCAAATAATTTAGGCAAACCCTTATGAGCATAGTCCATAGCTCTGTAACTATCAAATAACAATCATTATTTTTAAAAAAACAATAGTCATAAAGGCATATTATTTCGTAAAGTGTAATGAATATTTGGGGCGAACCAATAGGAATCAAACATAATAATATTTTTTTATAAATTTAAACAAAAATAACTTAACAAAAACTTGACCAAATTTAATAAAAATTTTTTTAAATAATTTTTACAAATTTTCAGAATTTATTTAAAAAAATATTTATTTATTTGATCAAGTTTTTATTAAGTTATTCTTGTTTGAAATTTTAAAAAAATTTATTAAAAAATATTTGCTTGGTTTCTATTGATTCAACCCCATTTTGATCAACATATTTATATTTTTTAAGCATCTTAGCTTCAAATTCGAATTACTTACAATTTTTAGTTATAGAATTTTTCTTTTATATTGAAAATTAAATACATATTATTTAATTAAAAGAATTTTAAACATTGTTAAGTTTTGTTTTATTGTCTAAAGTAAGATAGAAAAAATTTCATTTTACAAATTAGTGTGATTGATGATGTATTTTATTCATTTCCATAATATCAAATTGGTATGATTGTGATATATTTTATTCATTTCCATAATATTAATTGGCTGAACATAAGAGTAAAAAATGACAAGATTTTAAATGTAACTGCATCGATAGATATATTTTTACTTAATAGTACATAACTTTTAAATCTTATTGTTACTACTTGACTACACTAAAAGTAAAAAACTTATAAATGCTAACTCATAGATCTTTTATATAAATTGAGGAATACCTTTTGATTTATATCCGGATATGTACTACATGTTGAAGAATAGTATCCTTATACTTTCTTATATTTTTAGAGAATACTTATTTTGTATATAATATTGAAGGCCAGTAAAATAAACCAGAGAATACGCATATCATTTTATCTTTAGTCATTATCAATACCGCAAGTTGGGATATTTGAATCACCTGAAACAACGCACTGTTATTTCTGTGATTAAAATACTTATCGTCATCATAATTTTTATACGTATATGATTACATAAGGGTGTGGAAAATACCTATTTCCTTTTTAAAGCTTTAAGCCAACATTTCTTGATGAATACTTAACAATTTTAGTGTTATTTATTTTTATAAATTAATAGAATTAAATAAAAAATTTTTATCAAACTTAGTTAGTTGTTGAGAAACTTCGCTAAAGTTTGAAAAAAAAAAAGATTTAAAAAAGCGTAAAACTAGTAGTAAAATTTCTTTTTTAAAACTTTAACCGAAGATTTCTCAACGTTTATCTAACCGAATTTGATGAAAAATTTTTTATTTTAATTCTACGTGTTAGTAGAATCGAATAAAAATAAATTTATTGAATTTTGTTATGTACTCACATAGAAATATTTCTTTAAAGTTTAAAAAAAATTGTCGCAGCTTCGTTTTATAGGCATTAAAACTTTAAGCGAAGTTTTCTCGATGAATATTTAATGAAACTTTTTTTATTTTAATTATATAAGATTGCAAAATTAAATA